GGGAAAAGCACAATTGTTCAAAATTTAGATAAAATAAAGAAAGAGAGTTTACAGAGAGCATCATTCCTGCACAGTACTATTGCTACTGAGCATATGTAATACCATTTATGTGATTTAAAGTATTGATATGTATTCTGTCAGGATTGTCATGTTTGACACTGTTTAATATTATTTCATGTACAGCTTTTGGGTATTGTTCTATTATTTGTACAACTGTAAAATAAACAAGTTTTTTTCATTTTTTTCTGCTATATTCTGTTCATATTCCTTTGTAAGTCGGTTGGCATTGATTTTATTCCATGTGTTAAATTATATGCTAATATGATCTACTAAAAAATGTTTAAAGTAGTTCACAGGAGAGCAAAACTTATCCGATAAGGGCTAGAATTAACCTCTGCCTATACTTCTGAATTTAAAAGAAAATGAAAAAATAGCCTATAGAAATCATATACAACATTCCATACTTAAAGCCTATGCAATCAATAACAAATTTCTAAACCTGTACCAGCCATGCTACAAAAACAAATATACAACTCTACCGTGTCTATAAAAACTACGAGGAAATTGCTATTCCGTAATGAATTTTATATTTTTATTCTATAATTGCAGATTCAGCCTTCACACACTGCTGGAGCTAGTGTATAATTTGAGAACGCCATGAAAGTCAATATTTTGCTGAGCTCTGTTCTTTTCCATGGCACAGAAGCCAGACACTGTATTTTACTGAAGCCTGCCTGTAGTTCTCTAATATTAATTAGATTATTTTAAATGGCTATCAGGTTTTTTTGGGAAAGTGCTGTCTTTTAATTACTTGCTACTGTGAAAATATATGCATATAATTGATGATCAGTGACTGTGTTAATGAAAAATTCTTGCACTGTAATGAAGACCTACTTAGACTGCGAATCTTCAGCTGCGCTTTCTTCTGCAGCCTTTAACAACGGCCTTGCTAGCCCCTCCTTTTTATGATCTGTTTTGCTGTCTTATCCTCTGTCTTTCATGTCCCCAGAAAAATACGTGTGTAAATCAAGGAGAGGCTTCCACCATTCTCTTAATGTAAAACTTTAAGGATATTTGGCATGATTGAAGTGCTTCTTCTGAGCCTTAAGTCTTAACCTGATTAACAATATGAAAGACTATTCCTCAAAAGAGCGCTGCCAAAGGAAGCATGATTTCCGTTTCCAGTGTAATTGTCTGTTTGTGGCCCTCAGATGGTAACAGAGCTAGCCAAGTACTCAGACAGCTAGACAACACAATGGAGATGCTGCGATCCCAAAGGAAAAAATACATATGTGTTTTCTGGAGACTAACATGTATGTAAAGAAAGTGCAATGAGAAACATGGAACAGTAAAGATGCAACAAGAAGGGTCTGCTCTGAGAGAGACCTTATTGGGGGAGTCTCGATGCTCTTTTGTTGTTTTAGAGCAAACAGGACTCATCTCTCCTTAAATACAGTAGTAATTTCTATGAAGATCAAACCTGGCATATGGTCTTACTGGCTGGATTTTGCTCACAGTGACTCTGCGTGATAGCTGAAGAAATGCCGTTTACATAATACTCACCGAAACATATCCATTGACATTGCTGTTACAACAGCCTGTAAGCTTAATGATATGAAGACGTGCCTATTGATTACAAGGCAGTCTTTCTACAATCATTCCATATATCCTGCCTTTTCTACAATTTTGTTTATGTACTTTAGATCTTCTCACCTTTTAAACTCATTTTAAATTGCCATAGAGTGAAAACCAGAGGATTTGATTCTTGAGTGTTTAAAATAAAACCCTATTTTAGTCTTTTAAAAAAGTGAGGAAAAACAGGTCTATAGTCACCTGTCAGAAATTACCTGTACGTCAAAGACTCGGGGGAACAAAAATATGGTCTTCCTTCTGTTGCTATTAATGCTCCTGTCTAAAGTCAAATGGGAAGTTTTGACCCATTTCTTCTCTACAGACGAGTGTCTCTTGTGGTGCTCTGAGGAGCATCGTGTGGAAGAGCTTGGGGGGCATCTTATAACTCATCTAAGAAGCATTGTGCAGGCTGAATTTCTGTCCCAGAGTGGAAAATGCAGACATCTGCTCAATGTGCAACTCCCATAAAGTCCGGGTAAGTGTTACAAAACAAAATATTTCCATTCAGACACGGCAAAGTGCTTTGTTTGGACTGCGAATGCCCATACTACCCATATAGACATTTCCAATCATGATTTGTAATATTTTCAGTCTCTCAGTTCTTTATCTGCTTCAGAAAAAGAAAAAAACACAGATATCAAAATACTGTATCTTGCCTAAGAGAGAATTTGTGATTGCGTATTTTTGGGATGAATTCAGATTTTGTCTTTTCATACAGCAATCCTTCCCGTTCTTTAGAATGACATAAATAAGACTGTTGTATGTCTTCTCAGAACTAGACCATTTTGCAGATCATTATTAACGGCCTTTTTTTTTTTCCTTCTGTTTACTATGGTTGAGCGGCTTTGAGTGTTACTATTATGTCAATGTGCAAATAACATGCAGAGAACAATTAGGAGCCTACTGAAGTGAAGTTGCATTCTTGCTTTTACACACGCTCCCCTGCTAAAGGCCACACGAAGGCGTTCCAGGAAATCCCCCTGCCAAAAGAAAGCCCATTAGCATGCTGGGCTGCTGTCCAGGAGTAAAGCCCCAGACCAACGTAAAGCTGGGAAAGCAGTTTGTCTTGGGTCAGCCAAGATACAATGCCTGGGGAGGGACTGTCTGAAAATATGCGCTGTAACTAGAATTAATCCGTCCAAATAATCGCCATCATCCTTAATATTAACATTTACTTCTAACAAATGCTTTAAGGAGGTGGCTGTTTTTTGTAGTTGGCCTTTTTGACTCAAGTTATTAAGCAATCAATTTCTGAAATCCCGAGGACGGGAAATCAATCTCACCAAGTGTTTCACTAACACAGAAGGGCTGGGATGGCCTGTTTGCCTGGATGGCAGCAGTTAGGCAGGTGCAAGTGCTGTGCTTACTGGTGCACGCTCCTTTCAAAAAGCACCTAGGCAAAAAAATCTCCGTGAGCTAGCTGTGCAGGCCAGGTGGTGTTTCTCTGACTTCCTTTGCTTCCCTATATTCTGAATATTATTCTCAGGGGCTTCTGCTGCTTTCAGAGCTGCACAGCTGCTATTAAATCCAACTCATCTACCTGCATTTCCTATCAGATCTCTCCAGCTCACCTTCATGACTCAGCAGTTGTTCTGGAGCCAAACCAAACCTTGTCTCTTAACTGTTGGACTAATGCCTGTAACTTTGAACTAACAGAACCCAGCCTCAAGTCCAATAACTTCAGCAATGTTCAGAGCAGCTAGTTCACACATTGCTTTCCTATACAATCCTCTGACTGAAGGAAAGCAACAGTCAGAGTCAAGGTTACTAACACAATATGAGAGCAGCAATGAAAAAACAGTAACACAGTAAGAGCAGACACCCACAGGTGTCCTCTCAACCCTAAAGTGCACAGCATCGCCCTTTCCTTTCTGGGTTCGTCCCTGTGCTCTCCAAGCTCTCTGTTACCGCCGCTGCATTGCTGGCAAGGGCATGCTGACTCTAAAAGCTGTGTGCGAAGAGAGACTAATTGAAGCCTGAGGCAGTGTTATGTGGGGATACACCAGCCTAGAAGAAGAATAGCTATTGTTGTGTGGTACTCCATGTGGATGAACTGCTTCTTCTAGGAAACGGATAGAGCAGCCGCGGCAGTGCATCACAGCAGTGCTCTCTGCTCTGCCTCTGCAGGGCACGGCATGGAGGAGCACGGCACAAACACGCCAGCAGCACTCAGCGCTCCTGAAGGCACTAACACTGGACACAAAACCAGTTGTCGTACAAGAAGCAGAATGTGCAAGACCTCATTTCACACATAGCTGCGTCCTGAAGTAACCTCAGCTCCTCGCAGGGCAGCTGCACTAGAGCCCCGCTCCCTTTCCCAAGTATCTTCCCCAGCGCTCCCACCCAGCCACTGGCTCCCTCCAGTAACCCCACCAGCCCATCCACACCCTCTCTTTTGTAAAAGCAGTGGAAGGTGGCCTGCCAGGCAAGCAAAGGTGCCTGTAATGCTGCTCTGCAGCCATGTAAGGACTGATAAGCCTTTGCTAATGAGCTAATTCCTAATTAGCAAGTTCCTGCTGCTTTGGGAATGCAGGCTGCTTGCCCTCCCTCTTCCCAGTAAGTTGCCAATTTTCATGAAGTTTTAGGAATATAACATGCCTAAGATAGCTGCTCTTCTGTTCAATGTGGCTGAATTTGGTCAAGGAGTCAGTAAGTTATTAGGAGGAACTCTCAGATAAGCGGTGTGATCGCATGAGCCTTACTGCCTTCCCCACACCAGGCTGAAGTGACCTGCAGGCAGCAAGGGCAGAGCTACAGGACTGCAGCAAAGACTGAAATGCAGCTGCCTGAAGAGCGTTCAGGTATTTGTTTGTCTCTCAGTAAATGTAAATCCTAGTTCACAGCCTCTGCTACTACTCTTGAGTGTTTGAAACCCCCTCACTTGTTGGCACCAGGTGTGAAACGAAGGCAGGTTTTCCTCCTTTCGCCTTCAGTAGCTTCTTCCCTAGAGCATACGAAGACATGTAGAAAGACAATGCCAAATTCCTGATAAGAGACATAACTTGTTTTTTAAGAAGTATATGAGAATTACTGTTCAGCCCAGGTGAATTTTATTTGCAGGTTCTTGGGATGCAGTAGCCCATGTCGTAGTTATGTAGCCTTGCAACAGCTTCTGGCTTGAGCAAGCCTTCCGCTGACTAGGTTGAAGCAAGTGACTCTAGAGAGGCTTGTGTGTAGGTTACTTTCCTATTTTTAAAAAGGGTTTCGATTAATGGAAAATCTAATAAAAACTCACGGCTTCATTTTGATCTTTGTTTTTAGAGCTAAATAGAGAAATAAGCCTGAAAGCTGGCTTGCATGTAAAGACTTACACTAAAAGAAGATGATCGTT